TTGTATTTTCTTAGTAAGTTTCTGTTAAGTTTTTTCTTGCATGTTTATCTTTATATACCATGGTAAAGTCATGATAAGTTAGCACTAATTCATTCACCCGTGTGGTTTGGGCTGTACATATCTAACAAGCATGTCCTGGAAGCCCAGAAGAATTTCTGAGTGAGTTTATTGGAGGGAGGTACTGAGTGTGCATAAGCACATCAGCATTAGCATATGTGAATATGCATGAAAAAGCCCTGCACCCAGGAGACTGACTTACTGCCTACAGGACACACAGTCAACGTAGGGCTGAATTGCCAGGGGTTCTTTCTTTCAGAAAAAGAAGAAAAAATTTCTTCTCCCATTTGCCTGCCTATTTATACCAAGAGGGCCTTTAGGTGCAAAGGGAGGATGGATTAAGACATTCCCAGAGGGCAGAGTTCCTGAGGCTCTGAATTTATAACTACCCCAGGCACTCTGGAAAGCTACATTATCAGTAAAACTGGACCCCATGCTTTACATTCTCTGTAAGTGAGTCTTGGTGGAGGGTGCTGAGGGGTGGCTATTCTAAGATTAGCCAGAGGACTGAACTGGGTTCCTTTCCATTTCTGGGTCAGGACTGCTGAAGTAGTCTGAAAGCGGGGTAATAGAGATTGCATTCTATCTCAGGTCAGGGAGGCATATGTGAGAGCCTGTACTCTGGGATCTTCTCTCTTTTGCCCTGCTCTGGGTGCTTGGTGGTGCCAGAAATGCAGAGAAGGTAGAGTTTGGCCATAGGAGATTACTGAGTGGTAAGAGAGCTGAGAAGTGCGTGGTCTCAAGACGAGTTAAGAAAATTTGGAGTTTCCAACTATGAATATGGAAATATAGGAACTTTAAAACAAGGAATATGCCTACAAATGCTTGAATTAGAGGATAAGAATTAAATTTAGTTTATATAACTTCAGAAGTTTGGGACGAAGACCACAGCTGGGGGTCAGGGGGAGTCAGGAAGCAGTTCAAAAGATTTCTGTTCAGTCTAAAAATATTACTAAAAGCTACTTCTGCCAAAAACAGAAAACTATGCCCAGAAGCGTAATATAGAGCTACCTATCACTGGATGCACTCAATAATGTCAGATATTACACCTGGGAGAGATGTCTCAGTGACATGTCTCAGACTTATGAAGTTAGGTGATACCTAACAACACTTCCACTTTTTAAAACAGGGCTTCTTCAGTATAATGCTATGGGCCTGTCCTCCAGACTGGGAAAAGGCTTAGGCTATAGGTCTCAGTGGTGGTCTTTGACCTTGAACTTCTCTGGCTTCCTCATCCTGTCCCTGGCTGGAACTAGAAAACTTTAGGTCTCTGGATCCTCAGCTCTAGTGCTGCCAGTGGCACGTTCTGATTGCAAACCAAGATCGGAAGAGGAGAGGAGAAAAAGCAAGTGTGTTCTCACATGCTTTACTTCTAGGTCTCAGTAGATTGTTCTATTGAATACTTGTTGAAAAAAATGTGATGAAGAACAGGCAGGAACATCCCATAAAAAAAGAAAAGGAAAAAAGGAAGAATTAGAGAGTGAAGGTAAGAGATAAAATCATCCTCCTATGTAATACTGAGAAATTTCATCCTAGTGCAAAACATATAATAATTATCCCAAAGCTGTTCAGGTATCAAAATTGTACTTTTTGCTCTAGGCTTTTCCATGGATCCTCATGCCTGAATCTCCAAATCTCACATTTGGCTCTACCCTCCAAACATCATTTCAAGATTCTGCCTCCTTCACTTAATTCTTTCTAAGAATACTTTGTGATCCCTTATTGGAGATGGTGATATTTGGGGCTGTGATTTTTTAATGTAAAATTTGGCGGAGTAGGATCGAAGAATGTAATAAGCAAAAAATAAATGAAAAAAAATGAATGAGAAAGGTAGTATTTAAAGGGGATATTAGGAATTTAAAAGTTGTACAAACTGTGGATACAAGCAAATACAAGTCAATAGGGTCGAATCAATTGTGACAAGTTCTGGGCTTAGTAGATTCTCTTAGTTTGTGTCCCAAGCTTACAAGTGAATGTATTCAAAGAGAAAGAGAAAAGGAAAGACAGAGTTGAATGAATATAGTGCCCAGGCCATAGAGAAGGTTGTCCAGTCACCAGCTCAAGTCTGGCAGTTATGTTCCATGGGTACTATCTTAAGTGTATCCTCCAATTCCAGTGTTCTCACTGTCAATGGGCCACTCTGTCAAGGCAAGGTGTAAAACTACTAGACAAGACAAACTGAGATCGGTGGGTGGCAGGTATGGAGTTATGAAAGAGGAAAGTAAATCAGAGCATATGGCTTATGGAAATGATTTTGTAATCTTTATCGAATCCTTAAGGGGTCGCCCCTTAGGACTGGAACCCAGGGAAACAATAAGAGACACAATACAAAAGTGGAATAAACAGGGAATCGGACCTTATGAACAGTGGGAACCAGGAGTCAGAGTTCTAAAAGGGAGAAAAAGAGATTCCAGAGTGCTGGAAAACTGCACTTAAGATTGTGTATGTGTGGGTAGCAAAGGTGGGGAAGAAAAGCCTAAAAATATATGAAAGAAAAATGCCAAGTAATACATACATTTCTAGATCACTATGGCAACACAGAGAACAAGGGTACTCACATTTTCAATGCCTTGGACCTGAAGAAATCATTTTATCTTTTATTTCTTTCACGTTTGAGCCCTACAGTAAAACTATTGTAAAGATATGGAAAACCGCTGAGTTTCAATTTGCCTATGTGAAAGATAAAGTGTTAAAATAGTCAACTTACCCTACTGACTTCAGAGTATTTTGAGTCACAAATGAAATAATATGTTTAAATTTCATTTTGAACCTGCCAAAATGATTACTAATATACACAATTATCAACAAGAGAAAAACAATTAGGTGATTATCTCAGTTTCTTCTGCATAGCAGGTGGGAGGGCCGTGCCTGGCAGACTGAATGGGGAGTCAGAGGACCGGGAGGAGGGAAGAGAGAAGCTCTGGGAGGGAATGCCTGTCTTCATGCCCCCACTGACACAGCCACACTTACCATCAGGGTCTTTCTGATGAGGAGAGTCAGAAAGGAGCCAGCTGAGCAAGGACAGGAAGTGTATTTGTGGAACAGGAAAGACATAACTAAAACCAAAAATACTATTTGAACATTTTCAGAAGTGTATGTTCCTGACAGTATGAAAATATTGTACAGTTCTGTGTTCACAGCTTTATTACAACTTCCTTTCTTGCCACCTTCCCTTCACTCCCAACTCTTTCTCCTCTAACAGATTCAACTTTAAAAACTATTAAGTGTGTTATGGGTGAAGTTTGTTTTCCTTTTTATATAATAAATGGGGCGTATCATGGATGATTTATTAGGTCTGAAAAGCTCTAGAAATTAATCTAACTTCTGTATTTACAGGAATAGCATTAGGATAGTACAGTATGAGTCTCTGATGCTAGATTTTGAGGTATCAGTTCCCTCGTTTGTTAGTGGTGATAATCATGCACATTTCACAGTTGAATAACATGGAATAAAGCCTTAGAATATTTGAGTGCAGTGTCTAGCAAATAGTAAGGATTCCAAACATAATTAGATAATTTTACGTTATTTTTGGGGAACCTAATGAGGAAAAAACAGGGCAGTTCTTAAACACTTGATGAAATAGATTTTCTAAATGAACAAAATAACTCCTTAACAGAGACTTCTCTCCTGGTAAACAGATTTAGGTACAATAGACTACTGTATGATTTGAAGGACCCCAGAAAGACATAACCTATATCTTTTGCCAAAGTTGTACCATTGTTTGCATTTTCTTTCATAAGTCACAGGAAGGAGAATCTTCAAATCCTTTGCCTTTATGTGTAAATGAGGATACCATATTGCTTTATTTACGATTCTTTTTCACCAACCTATCCCCCATGTCAGAATTAGTCAGCTCTTCCCTACAATTTTGTAATAATTTGTGTATAACCCTGTTATTATTCATATATCATTTGTTCTTATTATTACCCATCTACCAGAGAGGTTATATTTTTATTTCTTTGACATAAGAATATTTCATTTCTCAATTTTATGACCCTATTACCTAAAAGAATGCCATGGGAAAAGGTTAAATGATAAGAAAATATGGCAACATTAAACTACTATCTGGAGGGTGGGCTATGTACACTTGGTTCATTATATTCAAGATGAAAAAGAAAAATGTAAAGGGAATTATAAAAACTTTAAGGATGAACTTCATTGCCCCCACACTATTGCAATCGGAAGAACCAAGTTATCATCCAGTTTAATGACAAGTGTTGCTCCCTCATGGCTATTTAGACTCACTCATGCTCCTTTTAAAGCTCTTTCTTCCAGAAGTTGGAAATCCTACAAATATGAAGACCTAACTAATAAACAGAAATAAAGCAATTATTTGATAGGTTTCATACCTACCAAAAAATGAATATTTAGATAAAATGGAAATTAACATTATTTTCAGTATATAAATAAAAATATTTAATTAAGCAAAATCAATACAGTTAAAAGTTCACAATGAGAACCTGGGACATTTATCTGAGTCTCTCCATTGTGCCAGGCTCTGCTAGTTATTTGGGAGTAGCACAATAATTAAATTGTAGATATGGTAGTCTACGTAATCATTAAAAAGAAAATTAAAAAGAAAGGGAAGAAATTGAGAGTCTCACGTGTTACACAAAATTATTTTTCTAATTAGTGTCTCCTTTTTAGTTTCTGTAAAGATATATCAATTCTCTACAAAGTAAAATTAAACAAATCAAACACGTATAGATGAATCATATTACCTCAGTCCTCTATACTATTTAAAATGATAGGAAAACCTCAGTAACATAGCACTGAGGATAAACGCATGAATTCACTTGGCTCTAGATAACCTGCTAGGGTCCACAACTTGTACCTAGGAAAATGATTTTTTTTTTATCCTCCTGTATCCAGAGTCAGCAGCTAATTTTTTATCCTAATTTTATAGGACACTGAAAGAATGTTGTAGAAATATAAAGCAAAAAATGAGAGCACACCAAAATGGCACCATCTCCATTGACATTTCAAATTTCCTCCTGAACTGTTTTGTCAGATCTCCCACTTGGCAGCACTGGCTGTCCCTGCCCCTCAGCCTCCTCTTCCTCCTGGCCATGGGAGCCAATGCCACCCTCTTGATCACCATCAGTCTGGAGGTCGCTCTGCACCAGCCCGTGTACTACCTGCTCAGCCTCCTCTCCCTGCTGGACATTGTGCTCTGCCTCACCGTCATCCCCAAGGTCCTGGCCATCTTCTGGTTTGATCTCAGACCCATCAGTTTTTCTGCTTGCTTCCTCCAGATGTACATCATGAATTGCTTCCTAGCCATGGAGTCATGCACATTCATGGTCATGGCTTATGATCGTTATATAGCCATCTGCCACCCACTGAGATACCCATCCATCATCACTGATCAGTTTGTAGTCAAAGCTGCTGCCTTTATTTTGGCCAGGAATGTCTTTATAACTATACCCATTCCCATTCTTTCAGCACAGTTTTATTACTGTAGGAGAAATGTCATTGAGAACTGCATCTGTGCCAATATGTCTGTCTCCAGGCTCTCCTGTGATGATGTCACTATCAATCGCCTTTACCAATTTGCTGCAGGCTGGACTCCGCTAGGATCTGACCTCATCCTCATCTTCCTCTCCTACACCTTCATACTGAGAGCTGTGTTAAGACTCAAGGCAGAGGGTGCTGTGGCCAAGGCTCTAAGCACATGTGGCTCCCACTTCATCCTTATCCTCTTCTTCAGCACCATCCTTCTGGTCTTCGTTCTTACACATGTGGCTAAAGAGAAAGTCTCCCCTGATGTACCAGTCTTGCTCAATGTCCTCCACCATGTCATCCCTGCAGCCCTCAACCCTATTGTTTATGGGGTGAGAACCCAGGAGATCAAGCAAGGAATCCAGAGGTTACTGAAGAAAGAGTGGTAATAAGGGCAACTGAATCTCTGAATTTCTAAAATCGAATGACTTTTGAATCATTAATGAGTGAGTGTGCTCAAACCCCTACCTATGAGTTATAATCTCATACTGGATAAACTGGATATTGCATATGATTTTCTAAAACTTCAATTTCATTTTAAGTTTCCCTTTCTTTCATCCTTCCATCAAGAATATCCTTGGCTCTTTCCCCTTTTTTGCAATGTTTACAATCTTATTTTTTCTAAAACAGTGACATTTCTTGAAACAGGTTTTAAAGTGAAAAATTTATGTTCCTGAGCATGCAACTCTTAATGTTCCATGAACTTCATATTCTTAAAAATACAATTGCAGGTATTTTGTGCATTCTCTTGTGTGTAATGTATTCTTATCTTCATTTTCACAGAAGGGAATGAGAAAAAGACACAACAGCTGAGATTTCAGTCCAGAGTGATGGAGGCTTGCTACTGGTGTTTTGTTAGGTCTTTTTCTCTCATCCTTCAACCACATCCTTGCCTTTCTCTGTCTCTGTCTCTTTCTCTTCTCTTTTCCTCTATCAGACAATGTAAAATTTTGTAATGTGCACTACAAGAGGGAGGGGTTTCTGCCTTGATTGCTTACACATGTGACAATTATCAATGAGTTTTCTTAGATACAAGAAATTCCTAAATCCTCCTCCTTATTATGTCTTTGCTTAGGACACTTATCTTCTGGATCCAGGATATCATATATGGTATGCAAACATAGCTTTGCTAATGAGTCAACGGATTCTTAGGACTATAATATATAATTCAGTAATAGTACTGACATATAAAATAGCCTAGCTGAACATTATTTTCTCATTAATTGTATTAGTTTCTAAGCACACCTTGTGTCCTGTGAATTCTGTTAAATATTAAAACAAAATGAATAGATCATTGTTGTTGCTTTAAGGAGCTCAAATTTTGGTTGGAAAGAATACAAATATAATTTCCAGGAGCATATTCTTCTCAACTAGAGAGCAGTGAGGATTGAACAAGTTACTTGTATGGGAAGTAAGATACTTGGCAACCTAAGAAATCAGTGGAAAGAGAGGTAGAAAGTCTGGGTAGTAGGTCATACACAACCACATACAGGAAAATGTTGGGTTCCTGCCTGGGAAGAAGTCAGGTCATCTTACTGTCCTTTAGTTTCTCATCTATTACTTGAGAATAGTGAACAATTTGTTTTAGAATATTCTTTCTACGTAAAAGATATTGTGTCTCAATAGCAACTTATAATATGTATTACTGTTTTTGACCATGAAAGAAAAAGTCTCTCAATAGTACAACATGAAGACTGTCCCCAAAGTCTTGTTCTTTCAAGCTTAACTGAAAGCATATGGGATTAAACGTGGGCCTACTCAAATCTACATTCTGCAAAATTCTGTGTATTTGTTTTACTTCTTCATACTGCAGTTAAAAACAATAAATTAGTACTTAATTTCTTAGCTTCTGGATATCCTATGAGCTACCAGTTGAAATGTAAGTATTCACTAACATATAGAATGCAATTATTACACCAGGCCCAATGGCTCATGTCTGTAATCCCAACACTTTGTGGGGCAAAGCAGGAGGATTGCTTGAGGTCAAGAGTTCGAAACCAACCTAGGCAACAGAGTGAGAGACTGTCTCTAAAATAAATAAATAAAATTAAAAGCAGATAAACTATAATGAAGATTTTAGAATTTCAATAATTTCTCAATAGTGAAAAATAATCTGTTAAGATCCAACGAGGTACACCTCTTTCTTTATTACTGAAAGATGAAGAACTCCCTAAAATCTCATTCTCCAAAACATTTCAGCATTAGAAAAATGGCTTGCCTTAAAATGTGCAGAACTGAATACCAATGGGAGAGGTTCACAAAGATAAAGATTTGATATGCTTCTAAGGTAAATTTAAGCTGTCACTTCCTGGGAAATATTGAAGTCCTTAAGTTTTAACAATATTCTATAATAACATCCATTAGTCACCAAAACTGTGGGAACTAATCTTTTCCAGGATTGCATCATTTATATAACAAATCCAGATATCTACAGTAAGCTGTTAGAAAATAACCTTGGATGTGAGAAAATATAAATATATAATAAATAACCTTAGATGCAAGAAAAAGGCTACGTAAGGGGATTTAGAGTACTTACTTAAACAGCACACCTGCAAGCCTAGAATTTTGTATCCTGTAAAGCTAAATTTCATAATTATCAGAGACATAAAATCTTTTCAAGACAAGCAAACACTGAATGAATTTGTCAAGACCAGACCTGCCCTACAAGAAATACACAGAACTACATTGTACATGGGTCAGCACATAGATACCCGCAAGTATAAAATGCCCCAAGAGCTAAAACTCACAACTTTTATAAAACAACAGCACAAGATGGAAAACAAAGTAATAAAGTACTACGCAACATGATGAATAGAACAGCATCCACATTCAATTCTGTCACTTAACATTAATGATCTAAATGCTCCCCTTAAAAGGTATAGGATGGCTGAATGGATTACAAAAACACAATCCAAGCATCTGCTTCTTCCAGGAAACACATCTAACCCATGAGGACTCACACAGACTAAAGGTGAAAGTATGGGAAAAAATATTTCACACAAACAGAAACTGAAAGAAAGCAGGTGTAGCCATTCTCATAGCAGATAAAATTGACTGTAAATCAACAATGATAAAGAAAGACAAAGATGGGCATTATATAAGGAAGCAATTAAACAAGAAGACATAGCAATCCTAAATATGCGAGGGCTGTCCTAAAAGTATCCAGCCGTGAAAGATGAAAAATTACATAAAAAATGGCTGGATACTTTCCAGACAGCCCTTGTATATGCACCTAACACAGGAGATACCATATTTATAAAGTCAATTCTACTATAGCTAAGCAAAGAGATAAATAGTAGCATTGTAATTATTGGGGACTTCAACACTCCACTATCTAAACTGGACAGGCCATTGAAGCAGTGAATGAATAAGGAAACACCGGACTTAAATGGTACTCTAGAACAAATGGAAATAACAGATATTTACAGAACATTCTACACAAAAACTACTAAACATGCATTTTTCTGATCAGCACAGGGGACATTCTCTAAAAGTGACCATACCTTAGTCCACAAAACCTATCACAACAAACACAAAAAATTCAAAATCATACCAGGTATCTTCTCAGACCACAGTGGAATAAAACTAGAAATCACTACCAAGAGAAACATCCAAAACTACATGAAATCATGGCAATCAAACAACTTGCTGCTGAATAATTATTGGGTCAATAATGAAATTAAGATAGAAATCAAAAAATTCCTCTAAATGATTGACAAAGGAGACACAAGCTATTAAATCCTATGGGATTCAAAAAAGCAGTACTACAGAGAAAATTTATAGACTTAAATATCCATGTCAAAAAGATGGAAAGATCACAAATTAACAAACTAATTTCCCATCTCAAGAAGGTAGAAAAGGAAGATCAAACTAAACCCAAAGCTAGCAGAGGGAAAGAAATAACACAGGTCACAGCAGAATTAAATGAAATGGAAAACAATAAATCAATACAAAGGATCAACAAAACAAAAAGTTGGTGCTTTGAAAAGAAAAACCAAATTGACAGACCTCTTGCTGCATTAACCAGGTATAGAAGAGAAAGGTTACAAATAAGCTCAATGATAAATAAAAAGGAGATATTACAAAGGATACCACAGAAATACAAAATATCATTTGTGAATACTACAAAAGCACTATGCATAGAAACTAGAAAACATAGAGAACATAGACAAATTTTTGGAAACACACAACATCCCAAGGCTGAATCAGGAAGAAATAGAACTGAACAAACCAATAATGAGCAGCAAGATTGAAGCAGTAATAAAAAAAAATCTCCTGACAAAAAAATAGCCTCAGACCTACAGCAGAAATCTACAAGACCTATAAAAAAGAGAAAGTACCCATACTACAGAAATTATTCCATAAGATCAAAAAGGAGGGAATCCTCCCCAACTCATTCCATGGAGCCAGTATTACCCTAATACCAAAGCCAGGAAAGGACACAACAAAAAAAAAGAAAACTACAGACCAATATCCCTTAGGAATATAGAGGCAAAAATCCTCAAAAAAATACTAGCAAACCGAATTCAGTAGCACATCAAAAAACAAATCCACCATAACCAAGTGCACCTCATCCCAGGGATGCAAGGAAGGTTCAATATACATAAATCAATAAATGTGATTCACCACATAAACAGAAGCAAAAACAAAGGCCTTATGATAATCTCAATAGATGCAGGAAAAGTATTTGACAAAATTCAGCACCCTTTCATGATAAAAACTAACTAAACATAGAAACTAAGCATAGAAGGAACAAAGTAAGCATAGAAGAAAAATATCTCAAAATTTATAAAAGCTATATATAACAAACCCACAGCCAACATCATGCTGAATGGGGAAAAGTTGAAAATATTCCCAGGAAGAACTGGAACAAAACAAGGGTGCCCATTGTCACCACTTCTATTCAACATAGTGCTGGAAGTTCTAGCCAGAACAATCAGTAAAATCAGGAAAGAGGAAGTCAAACTACCCGTCTTTGCTAATGATATGGTCTTATATCTAGAAAACCCAAAAAACTTTACCAAAAGACTCTTGAAGTTGATAAATCCATTTAGGAAAGTCTCAGTTTGCAAAATCAAAGTACACAAATCAGTAGCATTTCTATACATCAATAGTTAAGTTGAGAGTCAAATCAAAGACTCAATACCATTCAAAATAGCTATAAAGAATATAAAATACCTAGGAATATACTTAACCAAGAAAATGAAAGATCTCTACAAACAGAACTATGAAACAGTGAGGAAAGAAATAGCAGTTGACACAAACTAATGGAAAAAACGTATCATGTTCATGGATCGGTAGAATCAACAGTTAAAATGTTCACACTACCCAAAGTGACTTACAGATTCAATGCAATCCCCATCAAAATACCAATGTCATATTTAACAGA